ATACAAGTGTGCCATTGGAAAGTGAAGCCTAGGAAAGAGAAAGCTTGAAGTTAGAAAGACCCTGAAGTCATTGCAGACAGGTCTACAGCAAGAGAGAGAACTTGTTACAACTTTGTTTCTCTAGCAAAAGAAATTTTAAAGTAGCAAAATACAGGGTAAATAACTGAGGAGTGATGACTCATAGTTGAGTAATGTCTAATGATGGTGATGCTTCTGGGCCTGGCATTGTTCTAGAGGTACAGCATAAATATTTACTTCAGAACATTTAATTCTTAGGGGAGGATATGGGGGGACCAAGAGGGAGCAAAATTGGGGTGCATGAAGTAAGTGCAACTCCGTAAGAATCAATACAGAAGTTAATAAGTTAAGATGGCTGAGGAAAGACAGGATGATGAAATGCTACACATCTGTGTTACATGTGACCAATAAAAACAAGTACAAGATGGAGGAGGTGGCTCCATCATAAAATGCCAGCACACAAGCCAGACAGCCTGGGGTGTCCCTAGGACCCTCATAAAAAGCCACATGGTCCTAGCTTTTTAAAAAAGTTAACCAAGCCATGTAGATTTTTTTTTTCAAAAATGCCACCAACCTAGAACTTGCCTAGTGGACTAAACTATAGAGCCAGTGAACCTCTGGATGATAAAATGTTATCATTTAACTTGGTTACCAAGAGAATAGAAGACACATAGGAAAACCTCTTAATGAAAACAGCAGCATTAGAAGTACTAGCCAGGAGTAATGTCTCAGGCCATCGTCCCAGAACTCTTACCCCCCCAGACACACAACAAACACCGAGCATTAAATGTACTATTTCCAGTAACTCTGAAACGAGCATTTGAGATCTCACCAGGGCTTTTCTCGTGCCGAAGTGGTAGTTTCCATTTGCATAGCAAAATTAGTAACTCATAACTGAGTCTGATGGCTTGGGCTTGTAATCAGCTATTTGGGAGTCAGAGACAGGAGGATTGCAAGTTCATGGCTTGCTGAGCAAAAGTAAAAAGAGGACTGGGAACATAGCTTACTGGTAGAGTGCTTTGTCTAGCATCATGCCCAAGGCCTGGGGTTCAATTCTCAGGACAGGTGAAGGGGGAGAGCCATTGGCTTTTTTTTTTTTTTTTTAAGTACTTTTTTTGTTTTGTTTTTGTTTGGCACATGTACTATCCTAGATTCTAAAAATAGAACAGTGACATGGCAGTACCTACCATAATGACCCTCTCAAAAAGGACTGCTAATGTACAAGTAGACAAAGATGCAGTGATTTTTTTTTTAGTAGAAGTTGGAGCTTTGCAAACAAGGTAATGTGTCTGTGAGTGACTACAGGAGGAGAGGTGGATGGCTCAGTTGATACACAGTTGAGATAGGGCTGGAACCATAGAAAATAGTATTCCAGGAAAAATAACAGCTAGTTCAGAGGCCTCTGAAATGAAAGTGATGAAGGATAGGATGAAAACTGGTCAGAAGAACTTGGTCAAGGAAGACAGTGGTATAGAAGAGTTTGAAGGAGCTAAGCAAAGAATCCTGCATCTGATTGCTATGCAGGGGAAACAGCATACTGCATTGGGAGCCTATAGTGAAGAAGAGAATAACATGTTACTTGCTGCTTTAAAAGATTTCCTTGTTTAGGGGCAAAACTGGATTTCCCTCCCTGAATCCATTGACAGTAATTTGCAGGTATTATGAGCTTTAACCTGCAGATTCTTCAGTGGGTAGGTTTTAGGAGAAAAACAGTAACCTTTTTTGTATCTATGAGGCAGTTACCTCATAGGCTCAAAACCAAGGAGCTAGAGGAATGACTCCATGGTAAAAGTGAATACCAGTTTTGCAGAGGAAATGAGCTTGGTTCCAAGCACCCAGATCAGGGGAGTCACAATTGCCTGTATTTCTATTTCAGGGGTTCCCAACACTCCTAGCTTCAGAGGTCGCCTGCACTTACATGCATGTATCCATACACAGATGAACATATGCACAGCTTAAAGTAAATCATTAAAAATTATGATAAAAAGGAAAACTTCTGTTAATGAATAGTCACTGCCACATTCCGATCTCTTGTTTTCCCAGTGCTCTCATTTGCATCAATATCTTTGATCCATGGCAGATTGTATTTAGTAGGTTTTTGTATTTCTTGGGTCTATTAATCATCAGTTCCTTAACCATGACTATCTTTTCAGCATTTTTGTTCTTAAATAGACAATTCAAATTAACCTGGTTGTTTCCTAATGGTTCAATCTAGGTTATACATCATTGACAGGAACTATGATATGTTTATAATTCATCAGAGGGGGACACCTGATATCAGTTTGTCCCATTACTGTTGTTTGATTACTTGATTATAATGGTTAAAAGTAATATATATCAAGTTTTTAAAAATACACTTGACATTCTTTTTTTTTAAGATTCTATGTGCATGTGTGTTCTGTTTACATGTATGCATTATATGTGTGCACCGTGTGCATGCCCAGTACCTGAAGAATCAGTAGAGTGTGTCAGCACCTCTAGAACCAGAGTTGCTGATGGTCACAAGCCACCATTCGTGTGCGGGGAATTGAACCCAGATCCTCTGCAAGAGCAACAAGTGCTCTTAACCACTGAACCATCTCTCCAGCCCATATATATATATGTGTGTGTGTGTGTGTGTGTGTGTGTGTGTGTGTGTGTGTGTATATGTTCTCAAGTTACCTGTGTTTATAATAAATTTACCACATGCATTGTGTTATTCTCTCTCCCTCAAAAATACAACCCAGGCCAGCAAGATCATGCAGGTAAAGGCACGTGCTGCCGAGCCCAACAACCTGAGTTTAATCCCCAAGACCCAGATGGTGGAAGGAGAGAACTGCCCCCATACAAGTTGTCCTCTGACCTCACAATAAATAAATTAAAAGTATAACTTTAATAGATAATTTTAAACATAACCTGATGGTAAAAATTAGATATCGTTTGTGATGGTAGCAAAATCATGATTGGCTGAGTAGCTTCTAAACTGTAAGTTGATATTCTACAGTAAGAACTTTTCAAGCTCTGTCTACTTACACATGACTGCATGAACCCCTTTTTTCAACCTGCTTGTCAGTCCATGACTGTTAACCTTTTGGCCAACTGTTCCTAGCAAACTGCACCTGTACCCACCGAACTTGAGCAATTTTTAGTGCTTACCAGAGCTTCTGCACTTAACCGTGACATCAGCCCTTCTTTAAGACGCCAATTTTGGTGTAGTATTTAGAGCCACAGCCTGACCAAGTAGGTCTATTCATTGCTCTGGACACAACGAGTTCCTATGACTAATTCATGCTGATGAATCTAAAGTCGGTACTCGTGGTTCTAGCTTTCCTGGATTTCTTCTTCCCGGGTGCCTTGTGTTTCGGTGAGAATCTAGCTCCCGACAGTCTCGGGCTTTCCGTACTTTCCCACTTGGACAGTGTATGTTAATTTCCGCATTGCCGAACCCTCAGACCTCTTTGCACATGGCAGCCCGCTCACTGTGTTTCACATGGACTTCCGTCGGGTCTGTGTGCGGAGTATTGATTTGGTGGTAAAAGCATTTTAATTAGTGTAGATCAAGGGTGTCCAGCTTTTTGGCTTCTATGCCCACACTGGACAAAGAATTGTCTTGCGGCAGAGAGTAGGACAGTACAGGGGTCCCCGTCATTGGGTTCTACATCTGAGCAGCAGCAGAGTCTGGCTCCTTACAGACTCAACTGAGCATTACCAGGTTTTGAGGTGTTGCTGCTGTGAACATTAATTAAGAAGTGATGCTTTTGTTTTCTTTACATTTTTATGTGAAGAAAATGTACAATAAAGCACAGTACTTTCACCGGGAGGTGTAGCTCAGCCTTGAGTTCCACCCAGAAAAGGCCTTGGGGGACTTTGACATTAAATCAGCCATGAAATTAACACCACAGCGAAGATTCAGGGTGAAAGTCTTCAGGGTAGTTAATGTTTGTTTCCTTCATGACTTGCTTCTCCTCTAGACTGCCTGTTCTTATTTATAGTCTCACCCCCTTTTTAAAATCCAGCCTGATAGCCGTTTTCTTCTCTGTGTTTAAGTGGGTTTTTTTCTCTTACCCTAGCACTGGGGCGGGTGGGGTGGGGTGGGTGTGTGAGGGGCTGCTGTGGGGGTGGGGGAGTGGGGAGCCTTAGAGCTCACCGCCTAGCCTGGCTCAAAAAACTAGGTGGAAAGAGATAACATTATCCACCAGCCTCCACATAAACATGCATTCACATGTATGCCCACACACACAGTGAAATTAGACCCTTCTTTTAAATAATATCAAGAAATTAGTTCCAAGGGAATAACAGACCTAAGTTGAATGTAACTTGAAAATAGGTGTAATACCGGTGACCGCAGGCTGGGCAGGTCTGTTAGACACAACATTTAAAGAGTATGTGACAAGACGTGGGTGAGTGGATGCGCTCAGCTCCTTGTGTCTCTGGGTACCCTAAGTGGTGAAAAGGCCAGCAGCACTCAGGAGGCCGAGGCAGCAAGACCAATGGGTATGAGTGTGAGGCCAGCCTGTCCAGTAGACTGCTACCTTGTCTCAAAGACAAGGACACGGCAGCTGAGAGGGAAACGAAGAGAGAGGTCTGTGGATGACACATTTCCCCTAAGTGGCCCCAACCCTGAGATTGTAAATTGTTGGGTGATTTTGCGATGGAGCTCTCACTTCGTGGCCCTGGCTAGTTTCAATCTCACAAAGATCTGTCTGCCTCTGCCTCTTGAGTGCTGGGTCTAAAGGTGTGGGCCACCATACTCAGCTAGATTTTAGAATTGTGTAGTCTTTAAGCCCCTGGTCCCTTATTTGCTATTTACTTGTTTTTCTCTTTCAAAAAGTTTTATATATTTCTCCCCTTTTGTTCTGTATGTGTGTGTTGTGATTTTGTATGTACTTTAAAATATTTCTGTCATGTATTCATTCTAAAATTGTAGGTGATGAACTTTTTCTAGTTTTTTATATGCTTTCATCCAAGATATTTATATAGATTTTTAAAGATTTGTGTTGAAAATATCAAAAAGCTTTGTTCAGTTGGTGGACAAAGGCAGATTAGATTGGTGCAAAAATAAATCCTCTTTTGCAACCCAGAACTCATTGTCAGTATGAGTTTTGATATATACTAGAAGGAATATAAGCATAAAGGAATAATAGTACTGATAAGATTTGTTCTATAATTTAAAGGTATAAGTACTAAAAAAACAAGCATAACTATTTCTTTTTTAAAAGCTTGTCTCGATTATGAAGCCAGAATTGAAGATATCTGTACATATGTGTTTGTTTAGGTGGAGCAGTAGCATATCCTTCATAAACACTGTGAGTGTTAGGATTGAATACGAGCAGAACTCTTGAAGCATGTTGGGTGTCATCAAGTGAGAGGCCAACCTTAAAATGGTTCCTAAAGTAAATTGTTTGAAGAAGTCACCAGAAACTCTCTGGTAGAAGGCATGGATTTATCTTGACTATTTGTCTTTAACCCAAGGGGAGAGAAAAGAACAAAGGCCTGATAATAAATAGAATCAGACTGAGCATCTTTGGGAAAGAAATCTTGAACCCATGTGACCTGGATGGAGAACAACAGAATCAAACCCCTTAAATAAAAACTTATTGTTTATAATTTTAGAAAAGGAAATAAAATACCAAAAAAGCCTGTGTTAAGAGTATGTGAGCCCCAGTAGGCTAATGCTCCAGCTCCAGTAAATTTCAGTCATCCACCATTTGTTTCATTTCTCACCACCACCAGCTTTTGGGTTTTTGTTTTGTTTTTACTTCTGTTTCCTTTTTAAAATGATCCCCATGGGTGATGATGTTTCACACTTAGGTAAGGGTAGTTAGCAGTTGGATCAGTAGGAAAAGTTATGAAATGAACTGCTGGGCACTTTGCATCTGTAGATCATTGCGGTGTTTAGGGATAGAACAGACCTGTAATGCTTTTATGTTGGTGGTTTCCAAGTGGCTTAGACATAAAATTCTGTGAGTTAAATCTACCTGCCAGATCAAAATAAAAGTTCATAGAAGTGATCACAGGGAGACCACAGTGCCTTCTCGCTTTGCCTTGCCTCCCCTAATGTCCATAGAACACACTTTGAAAACTACGTAAGGTTCTGGAGAGGTGACCCGGGAGTTAAAAGCACAGGAGCCAGTTTTGGTTCCCAGCACCACACATGGAGGCCCTGTCTGTGACTCCAGTTCCAGGGGATCAGACTTCCTGTTTTGTCCTCCACTGACACCAGACATATACATGCAAGCAAACATTTAAAAAAAACAAAAATAAATGAGTCTTTAATTAAAGAATAGTTAGAGCTGAGGAAATAGTTCAGTGAGGAAAGTACTTGCCTCACAAGTGTGAGAACCTGAGTTCAGAATCTACTTAAAACTGGACACAGTAGCCTGTATTCCTTAATCCCAGCACTCCCACAGACAGAACTCTCAGTGAACACCCATGAGCTGGCTAGCCTGGCATTTACAGTAGCGAACGACCAGAGACCCTGTTACCGACAAGGTAGCAAATGAAGACACACAGGATCACCTGTTCTCCCTTGAGAGTCAGACACATCTGTGCCTACTACTCACAGTTTGGAACATGTCTGCACAAACTCACACATGCGTGTACACACAGAGACTCTCACACACATATGCACACGCAGACACACATATGCACAGACTCACACACATATGCACACACAGACTCACATACATGCACACACAGACTCTCACACACATTTGTACACACAGACTCACACATACACATATATGCACACACAGACTCACATATGTACACACCAGTGTTTTCTTTAAATAAGATAGTTAAGTGCACCTTTTCCAGTTTGTTGAGGGGAAGAAAAACTATCTTTTCTCCCATTAGTTTTTCTTGGTAAAAATGAGGTATAAATAAAAAGAATTCTAGAATCTCAAGTCTTACATCTGTTAGCGATGACAGAACTTTTGGAATAGCTTAAAAGGAAAGATTTGTTTGATTCATGATTTTATAGAGTCCAATGTCCTGGGGAGGGCACGGAAGAATGGAGCAGTTCCCACCACCCCACTAAGAGCAGTAGGGATCAGGACAAGACCTTCCCTTCAAGGCCATCCCAAGTGACCTGCTCACTCAGGCCAGGCTCCCTCCCCGAGTGGTCTGTTCACACTTTAGTTCATCTCCTAAGTGTCTTGGTTCACTCAAGTTAAACATCCAGATAATCTTCACACTGTCTTTGCACTGATACTATGCTGTCTTGGTCACAGTTGCTCTGTAGCAAGTTCTCAATTGTGATAAACCTGAGTCTTCAAAGTTTCACTCTGTTGACATGGTGATTGTTTATTCTCAGAGAGTGTCCTTTCCGCTGCTTCTCTGCATGGCTGTTCCCCTTTGAGTAGTCTGACTGAGCCTTGCTTTGTTGCTTTCAACATAGTTTGGCTGTCCTTGAAGTCTTCTGAGGTTCGTTTTCAGATGTGGTTTACCTGGTAGTAGTTTGAGCCTTTCAGATCTCATTTCTATGCTTTGTTAGGTGGGTCTGTCACACATAGTACTTCTGTGGGTTGTGCCGTCCACTACAAAGACAACCTGTTCCTGAATACTCAGCGCTCTGTGAATTACATTTTACTGTCTCAGTAGAAACAGTGTGAGTATTGTGACTTCCCTCTCATGCCTTTGAGTAGATCTTTCCCAGGCCTTAAGGGTGGCTTTCCAGCAAATGCCACCATTAGCACTCATGTCTCTGCTCAGCTCCGAGACCCTGCCCGCTCCTCTGACACACTCCTTTGATCTTGTATCAGCTACTTTCCCCTTTTTGTAACAGAAGCAAATTAAGCAGAAAGGATTTATTTGGACTCCCAGTTCAAAGAAATGCAGTCTGTGTCCTCTTGGGAAAGCATAATGGTAGGGGCAGCTTGGTCCATGGTGCTGACCAAGAAACATAAAGGTGGCCACCAGTGCTCAGCTGGCTTTCTCCTTCCCTTTTTATTTATTTTTAATCAATGTACACATTTGTACGTGAGTATGGTCAAGGGACAGTTCCAGGTGCTGGTCCTCACTTCCCATCCTAGTGGATAGAGTCTCTTTTTCCATCATTGCACACCAGGCTAGCTAGCCATTGAGATGCTTTTCTTCTCTGTTTTGCATCTCCCTGTAGGAGCAGAGCATTGGGATACAGATTTTTGCCTATTGCATCTATCCTTGCTTGGATTCTGGGGCACCAATTTCATGCCCTTAGGCCTGTAAGGGAAGTGCTTTATCTGCTAAACCATCTCTCCAATCCCCTCCCCCCTTCTTTATTCATTGTGGAACCCAGCCCATAGCCTGGTGCTGTTCACATTCCAGATGTCTGTCTTTTAAATTGGTATACAAAGGACACAACCAAAGGCATCCACATTAGTAACCTAGGTGTTTGCTCATCCTGTTGCCTAAGGTAGTCCCCTGTTCTGCCATTCATTCCCTTTTGCTCCCAAGTGAATAAAGCCAATTCAACAAAACATGTCAATTAATTCTTCCCAACATTGTTTTTTGTTTGTATTCTAATTTATTTTAATGATAAATTTGCTGGTTTAAGTAAACTTTTTCTTACTTTTACAGCTTGCCTCTGAATGTTGATTTGCTGAGTAGCCCAGACCTACTAGAAACAACCGTTGGTGATGTAACACGGACATCAGATACTTGGGAACCCTCTGCAGCACCAGATGGCATTAATGTAGTTACCAGGTCCAATGCATTAGAGGAGCCCAGAGTTGAATGTGAAAGTAAGTACCTGTTCTGTAATTCATCAGTAACATTGAAAACGTTTTTATCTCATGTATTTATTTGGTGGGGTATACCATGTTGTGCATGTGGAGATTGGAGGCAGCTTTGAGGGTCGCTTCCCTCCTCCTGTGTGAGTTGAAGAGATCAAACTGTGGTTCACATCCTCGGGTTTCCAATCAAGCACCTTTACCCAACGAGCTTTCTCCAATCGCAATACCTTTTGATTACCCCTCCTTTTAATTTAATTTTTATCCTGATGGCAGTTTCCCCTCTCTCCTCCCCTCCCAGCCTCTCCCTCCTCTCCTGTCTGTCCTGCTCCCAAGTCACTGGCCCTCAGTTTCTCTTCAGAAAAGAGCAGGCCTCCTGTGGATATCAACAACACATGGCATATCAAGTTGCAGTAAGACTAAGCTCCTCCCCTTGTATTAAGGCTGGGCCAGGCAACCCAGTAAGAGAAGTAGGGTCCCAAAGACAGCCCCACCCCCACTGTTAGTCTTCCTACCAGAAGACTAAGCTACACAATTGTCACATCTATGCAGAGGGCCCAGATCAATCTCATACAGGCTCTCTGATTGTTGGTTCAGTGTCTGTGAGTTCCTGTGAGCCCGGGTTAGTTGTTTCTCTGAGTTTTCTTGTGGTGTCCTTGACCCATCTGGCTCCTACAATCCCTCATTCAGCTCTTCTTTGTGGTTCCCGAGCTCCGCCTAATGTTTGGCTGCGGGTCTGCTTCTTTTTCCAGCATTTGTTGGGGGAAGTCTCTCTGATGACAATTGGGCTAAGGCACCAGCTGTAAATATAGCAGGATATCATTAAGCATCATTACATTGCCTTTTTTTGTTTGCTTGTTTGTTTTTTGAGACAGGGTTTCTCTGGGCTTTGGAGGCTGTCCTAGAACTCGCTCTATAGACCAGGCTGGCCTTGAACTCAGAGATCCGCCTGCCTCTGTCTCCTCAGTGCTGGGATTAAAGTCATGTGCCGACAACACCCGGCTTACATTGACATTTTTTTCTCCAGTTGTGTTGGGTTCTATCCTAGGTCTCTGGGTCCTGGCACTCCAGGCAGTGTCGGGGTGGGCTCACTCTCATGGCATGGGTCTCAGGCTGGACCAGTTGGTTGACCACTCCCACAATCTCTGTGTCACCCTTACCCCATCACATCCCATAGGCACAACAGACTGTAGGTGAAGGTTATATGGCTGGGTTGGTGTCCCTGTCCCTCCACTGGAAGGCTTGTCTGGTCACTGGAGATGGCCAGGCAACTCTGATTGCTAGTAGTTTTAGCTGCGGTCATCCTTGTAGGTTCCTGGGACTTTCCTTTGCACCGGGTTTCTATCTTAACCCGAAATGGTCCCCCTTTCCAGTCATCTTTTTCAGTATTCCCCCCTACCCATGATCCCTCATGTTCCAGCCTCACCCACCCCCAGTTCACGCACAGAATCTTTCCCCTTTTCCAGGGAGATCTGACATCTCCCCTTGAGTCCCACTTGTTATCTTGACTCTCTAGGTCTGTGGATCTAGCATGGTGATCCTTTACTTTACAGCTAATATCCACTCGTGGTGACTTCATACCATGTTTGCCTTTCTGGGTCTGGGTTACCTCACTCAGGATGATTTTGTTATAGTTCCATGATGTTGTTGTTTTTAATAGCTGGGTAATACTCCATTGTGTAAATGTACCACATTTTCTTTATCCATTCTTCAGTTCAACATCTAGGTTGTTTCCAGGTTCTGGCTATTATGACAGTTAATAAATGTGACCTCATGAAACTAAAAAGCTTCTGTAAGGCAAAGAACGTTGTCAGTAGGACAAAACTACAGCCCACAGAATGGGAAAAGATCTTCACCAACCCCACATCTGACAGAGGACTATTTTCCAAAATATAGAAAGAACTCAAGGAGCTAGACATCAAAAAACTTAGTAATCCAATTAAAAAATGGGGTACAGCTCTTAACAGAATTCTCAACAGAAGAACCTCAAATGACTGAGAAACACATAAAGAAATGTTCAACATCCTTAGCTATCAGGAAAATGCAAACCAAAACAACTCTTGAGATTCCATCTTACACCTGTCAGAATGGCTAAGATTAAAAACACAAGTGTCAGTTCATGCTGGAGAGGATGTGGAGCAAGGGGAACACTCGTCTGTTGCTGGAGAGAGTACAAACTTATACAGCCACTTTGGAAGTCAATATAGAGGGTTCTCAGAAAATTGGGACTCGATCTGCCCCCAAGACCCGGCTATACTACTGTTGGGCATATATATCCAAAGGATGCTCAAATATAAAACAAGACATGTGCTCAGCTATGTTCATAGTATCCTTATCCATAATAACCGGAACCAACTTACATCTCCTTTCGAAGCAAGATATTTAAACCACTTCCTCTAAAAATTGTAGTATCCTAATAGCTTGGTTGGGAATACTTCGTCCTCTTGCTTTCTGATTTAAGGAGAACACAAGAGAAATTGAAGGTAACATCCCCTCATATTATCATCAATAAGCTGTACTCCAAGTCAAGATTATGTAATTATAATTATATATTATAATGCATGAGTGATTATACATTTACAGTTGTTCATCCTGGGTTTTTACCTGTTGAAATTTGAGTACAGATTAAGAAGATAATGGAAGCAGTGTACAAGGACCATGAGTTTCAGGCCAGCCTACCTGTGAGCAGTGAGATCTGACTCCGAAAGTCTCTTTAAAGATTGAGTGGATGCTTTGTCCTCAGCATCTTTTAGCTCCTAGAAGATATTTTGCTATTACTGCCTAGTTGCCAAAAAGAAAGAATGCAGAATGAATTCTCCTTTCCTACCTTGTTTTCGGGGATACAAAGGAAAACGTAGATTGCCTGTTGAAAATACTTGGGTATTTGCAAGCTTGGTTTGAAAACTGAAAATGTTTTAAACAGGAGTTTCCTGTTGCAGCTCAGTGTAATAGGGTTTGTTTTCAGGCAGCTTGTGTTTATATGGCTCAGCTTGTGTTTATATGGTTCTTGCCAGATTTATCTCCGTTGTAGGTAAAATTAGATGCTATCTTAAAGGAACTCACAGAAAGCATGAGTGCTCCTCTGCCTGAAGTCTTCAGAGCAGGACAGTGTCATTCATTCAGGGTGAGTGCTCATAGATGATGCTGAAGTCTTCAGAGCAGAACAGTGTCATTCATTCAGGGCGAGTGTTCATAGATGATGCTGAAGTAGCACTGGTGGTAGAGATGAAATCCTAGGTGTGCACTGCAAACACCCTGCCAAGCAGCCCTTTTAGCATGCCATGATACTATTTAAACTTCACCATGCTTACACTGTGCAGCAAGAGTCAATTAAATTACTATGGTGCTAATTTTGAAGTAATGGCATTTAGTTTTTCTAAAGGTAGAGAATCATTGGGTGTTCTTCACGAAGCTGGAGAGAGATAGCTCAGGTTCAGTGCACAGGTGCCCTTGCAGATCTGAGCTTGGTTTCCAGTACCCACATTGTGTGGCTCACGTAGCCTGTGACTCCAGCTCCAGGGCCCTACATCAACTCTGGCCTCCAGAGGCAACCTGCACACATATGCACCTACCCACACACAAACTCCTATACACGTAATTAAAAGTAAATCTTTTTTTTTTAAAAAAAAAAAAAAACATTATCCATTTCTGTTTGTCAGATATTAGTGTTTCCTTTGTCATAATTTCTTTTAATAGTTAAATTTTGATAACCTTGCCCTGGACTCTACCTTCTGTTAGAAATGGTTGCTGTTCCTGAACTTAAAAAAAAGATACAAGATAACAAACCAAAGTATGATTCTACCAGAGTTCAGGCTGGGCAACAATGAGTTGATTGGGCTTACTTTCAGAGTGTGAGTGAGAAGTTAAATGTGAGTGTTGATGCCCCTAAAGCAGCTACACTGGAAGGCCTGCACCCAGCAGGGCTGAGAGCTCCCCAAATAGCCATGTATAAATGGGTCCCTGCTAGTTTGTCTTCCCCAGCCTGTGCACTCTAGTCCCTCTCCCAGATACTTTCTCCCCAGCCATGTGCAGTTAGGATAAAATTGTATTCAAATGGCTAGGAGGGGTAGCTGGACACACAGGTGAGGGTCCAGTGACCCACCCCTCCACCCCCGTCTGTGAGGGAATGTCAGCAGTCCATGACGCCAGTCATGATGGACTCACACAGTCACCGTGCATCTCATTAATACCATGGGTAATTAGCATAAGGAACTGTGTTCTACATCTTCTTAATGGAGAGGGAAATATTGATTTTATTTTATTCTCTTTTATGTTACATAAATTTTAAAAGTTTAATTGTTCCTTTGGTGCCATAGTAATCTTGTATTACCAAGCAATTAAGTATGTAGTTGTTCGTAGATTGTATTAGATTAAAATGACATGGTATAATGGAGTAGGTATTCTAGTTTTATTTCAGAATGCCAACAGTAGGGGGTCACTAAATAATCCAATGAGGGTCTAGTAAGATCGCTCAGCCAGGGCAGTACTTGTTGCACAAGTCTGATGATGTGAGTTTGACCCCAGGAACTCACCTAAAGGTAGAAGAAGAGAACGAATTCAACAGAGTTGTCCCCTGACCTCCTTCACACACCCCAGGTGGCACTCACATACTCCTCCCTACAAACGTGCCATGCATACACAATAATAAAAATAAAATTTAAAAGATAAAGATATGCTAAATCCCTATACACTTTGAAGTCATATATAAAGTTATTTATAGTGCTTTACTGGTGAATCTTAGAGAAGCAATTTACAAGTAGAGCAGAGCAAATCATTATCAGTGTGAGGGAAGCATTCTAAGTTCCTTCTGCCATACCTTAATTATAAATACCTAAGAGTTAGTGTGCTTCTCATTATAGAAAGTATTCAAGGAGCCCTTAAATGCTGTTGAAGTGGTGGCAGAAAAAGTTCTTCCCAAGTATAGGGATCTCATTCGTGTAACTTAATTCATATTTATACCATCTCTTTAAAGTCAATCAGTGAGACCAGTTAGAGCATTCTTACATTAAGAGTAGGAGTTGGGAAGATGGCTTCACCACTAAAGTGAATGCCACAAAATCATGAGACTCTGAAGTTCAGATCCCCAGCACCCACATGAAATCCAAACATGGCAACACATGTCAGTGACCCCAGCAGGGCAAAGGGGAGGGTAGAGACAAGAGGGTCCCCCCCCCCCAGCTCACTGGCAAGCCAGTCTAGCTAAATTAATGACCTTCAACTTCAGAGAGAAATCCTGTCTTTGAAAAAAAAAAATGTGTTAGGAGACACCTAACATTGACTTCTGGTCTCTGAACTACACGCATCCTTTCACATACACAAACACATGCATTCACATATACCATACACACATACAAAATTCTTTAGAGAGTGAAAGTCTGTTTGATCTTATTTTGACACAAGATCTTAGTGTATAGCCTAGGCTCACCCAGAGCATGCTATGTAGTTTAGGCTAGACTTGGAGCCTTGGAATTACTTGGAGTGATCACTTGCCCCAGCCTCCAAGGTCTTGGAAATGCAAACATATGTTCCTATGCCCAACTTAATATTCTCTGTTGTAACACCCTCACTACAATCTGTTCCACTAATCAGGCAAAGGCCTAAAGATTGAAATAAAAGACAAGACAGCAGGTCATTCTTACAGCTGGGACACTGAATGCTGAATGCCATTTATTGAGGGGAAGGAGCAAGCTTATGTACTGACTCACAGCCCAGTGGAAAACAATCAAGGGTCAATCGTGCGAATTCTCGGGCTTAGTTCCTCCCCAGCAGATGAGTGTTAGCAAATCAGGAAGAGTACCAAGAACTACACTGATGGCAAGATGTTCCAGCCAACAGCTTCAGACTGGCTCAAGGTGCCTCGGGAGTCCATGCAGGGCCCTACACTCTGTCTTCCTGTCCAATGTACTCTGCATTTTATATGGTTACAGTATAAAAATGAAGAACCGTGTTAAGTAATTTGGAAAAGAATACTCCTGGCATCAGAGAGGCACATGAACAAGCAAAAGTAGCTAACCAGCATGGCTTTTGCAAGAGTGCTCAACCAGGACCAAGCAGGAAAGCACACCAGGGCGGGAAGGGCACTTAGTAGCTCGCCCTTCCAGACTGACAGCTAATTCCTAAATGCCACTAAAGGAAGGTGTGTGATGGAGTCAAGTCTCAGGAATGTTTGGCATCCAGGGGTCGGGTAAACAGACATGTGTGCAAGAGTTTCAAAAGCTGGAGAGAGTTTGTGAAACACTGGGTGGTTACCCGTCTTTGAAAGAAAAGACTCTCTCTCTCTCTCTCTCTCTCTCTCTCTCTCTCTCTCTCTCACACACACACACACACACACACACACACACGCCCTCATCATACATTTATTTTATTTTATTTTTCAAACTCAGCTAGCATACACAGCCCTTCTGAAGTCTCTAGTAACAAGTTATTGTTAAAAGTGACTGGGAAATGTGAGAATCAGCTGATGAACCTCTGGACAAGGTCCCTAACATACAAGGGATTTGTTAGCATGACTTAGGTGAGCCCCCTTTCTAGGAATGGTCCTTGGTCATGATTGAATGTTAGGTCAAACATTATATTCTTTTAACTAGAAGTTTCCTTTTAATGAGCCCTTACTCTGCATTATTTAGAAACCAGACACGTTTGGCATCTCTAGTCTCTGGCAAGGATGAAGCCACCATGAGGCCCAAGAACATTCTGGCTTTCAGCCAAGAAACTAATTACCTCGAAGGAGAAGGGCACGTTCTACCCTAAACTGTCTAGCCAGTTTGTACTTCCTGTTCTCATCATTCTCTCATTCATACCCTGAAGGGATCACCCTAACTGCCATTATAGAATCAGGGCACTAGGGAGATTTATAGGTACTAACAATTTGATCTATTCTATATGGTTGCATCAACCAAGATGGTGGTGAAGTCACATGGCCTTCACAATCTTGAGGATGTCACTGGCCAAGATGGTAACATTCCCTCCGTCTTGATGGTGACAGCCATGTGGCTACTTTCTCCTGTGGTGAGTTCCATCTGTGATAAAATGAGTCCATCTCCCATTAGGGCTTAAGTCTGTATTGGACCCACACATTCCACAAACTAAATGGAGGCCCACCTCCGTTTCTTGAAAACCAAAAACCCATCTTTGTTCCTTAACATGGACAGAGCAGGAGACACTCCATGTGGCCCAGGTGTGTAGGCCCAGAAAAGCGAAGACACAGGGAAGGCATGTTCTTACCCTGAGGAAGGGGTCCCTTGTGTCTCATCACAGTTGCCATTGTGAACACCAACAGTGTCGTCTGGATCTCATTTGACCTTTGCATAGCTCCAAGGTGCACGCTGTTGCTGGCAAAGGAGCCTGCTAAGGAAGCAGAGGGAATGGGAAGGTGTGCTCTGGGACACCTGGAGACGCTGGGAGGGAGAAAATTACCTTGGCAACATTTTGTCCCACCTGAGCATAGTGACGGCTGGAGTCAGACATCCGTGATTCTGATCCATGTTGACATAATTTAAGACCCTCAGAAACAACTTGTGAAAAATAGTTCATCCTGATTGAAAAGCTTAGCAGCCTGTGTGGCGCTTTTAATTAGTTAATAAAGCAGCTGCATTGGGACCACATGGTCTAAGGCAGTGACAGACCTGCCACTCCAGTGGTTGTCTGCTCTCCCTTTCCCCTAGCCTGCTCCAAAGTTTCCCAGGTTCTCTGAGGGAACCATGGTGGAGAGAAAATCCTATATCCAGAGAGAGAAGTTAAGGAGCTAAACTTAACATTTAGTTTCTGTCGTGTGAGCATCAGTCAGCCACAAAAGCCTGAGGGGATAAGATCTGAAATTTTCTCTTAGGGTAAAGGGGAAGGGGGAAGGGAGGATTTGGAGATTTCCTTTCATGTTATTGGACTTCTCTTAATCTCCATTTTCATCAGATAAAGGACTGAGTCCCTTTCTCCAACAGAGAATGTATCAATTGTCTTAGTTATTGTATTTCTGTGGACACTGACCACGGCAGCTCTTATACAGGAAAGCGTTTGATTGGGGCTGGCTTAGAGTTTTAGAAGTATAGTCCACTATCATCATGGTGGGGAGCAGGGCAGCTCAAAGGCAGACGTAGCTGGAGGTACTGAAAGTTCTACATCCCAGTCTGATGAGCTAGATGGGGTCAGGTCACCTAAGCACCTGTGGAACTGAGGCTCCAGTTCACCTCATGCGCAGAGCACTTCTCACTCGCTCAAGCACAGTATATCCAGGGGGCCCTAATGCCAAGCAAATATATTTTTCTTCCTTGTTTGGTGCATGGAATTGTCTGGCCACTGCAGAGTTCTCCTAGGCCCTTCCCCACATTGCTGAGAAATCTTACATACTGGAATGATTACTGCTCTGAGAAACTTCTTCACTGGGAACCCAGGGACCACCACAACAGAGCTAGAGAACATGATCTCCCTAAGGGAGGCTATCTAAATATTCACAGATCAATTTGAAATCCAGGGGGAGCCTCCACATTGTAAAAGACTATTCCTGCGGTCACACAAAGAGAAACACAAAGTAAAAATAACTCAGAGGGCAGTTGCTTAGCCCCCAAACCAAACATACCAGGTTGGGGAGTTCACTGCAGTGTCGTCCTATGGTGGAATCTCCACCCTACCGGCTGACACGATGGGCTAATTCCTAATCACTGCAAAGGGAAGGGTTGTGATAGAGCCTCGGCCTCTAGGATTATATGAACAGGAATGGATCCAGAGTTTCACAAGATGGAATGCTGGCTCTTGGTGGGCTACCCATCTCAGGGGGAAACAAAAGGAAGGGAAAAAGGTTTTCTCATGGGGAGAGTAGGTTCAAATAGTAGCTAGATATTTGTTTGGATGTTTTGCTTGTCCGTACTGTATCTCAGGGTGTTTGTCAGCGAAGCAGCTTTAGTTGAAAAACAAGAAAATACTAGTTTATCTGTGCAAGCCAAAACATGTGTGGTGTCAGTACCATGCTAAGTTCGGTCAATAATTTAGACCATAACAAAGCCAGATTTAGGAACTAAGTAAATGGATAAGGAGGATTTGGTAAAGTATTGAGTTAGTGACTTTTAGCTCTGTGCATTAAGATCAATGGAGAGTTTAAGAAATGTCCATTATCAAAGTCTGTCTGCTAGAGCAGTGATTCTCAACCTGTGGGCCATGACCCACCCCTTTGGGGATCAAATGACCCTTTCACAGGGATCAGACACCCTACATACCAGGTATTTTTATTATAATTCATAACAGCGAAATTACAGTTAAGAAATAATTTTATGGTTGAAGGGGTTCACAACATGAGAAATCGTATTAAAGGTTGGCCAGCAGCATTAGGGAGGTTGAGAACCACTGTTCTACAAGTATGGTAAAATTATTCGTGATCAGTGAGATGGTCCAGTGGGTAAAAGTGCTTGCTCGCTAAGTAAGCCTAGCGGCCTGAATTCCATCTGCAGAACCCATGGTGGCAAGAAAGAATTCGAACGATGCAAGCAACCTCTCAGAGTTGTCCTCTGACCTACACACACCAGAACCAAAGGTTTTTAAAAGATTAGAACAAGTCTGGGAATTCAGAATTTCTTGAAGGCCCTAGATATGGTTCTAATGCACACCCAGACACAGAAGCCACTGGGTTTATTGACTGACATTTTTAGAAGATCCCTTTGACTCAAAGGATGTGACTTCATAACACCTCCCTCTGCCTCTAATGTTTTTTTTTTTTTTTTTCAAGACCGGGTTTCTCCGTGTAGCCCTGGTTGTCCTGGAAATAACACTGTAGCCTAGGCTGGCCTTGAACTCAGAGATTCACCTGCCTCTGCCTCTCAAGTGCTAGGATTAAAGGTATGCACCACCACCATCCAGTTTATTCCACTTTTAAGGGAGGAAAACCAGAACTTCAGTGTATACCCTCAGAGCCAGGCAGACTAATGAGAAGTTTTGCTGTTCTGTTTTTTCTAGCATTAAAAGATGATACGGAGAAGCTCAAGCAGCTGGAAATGGAGCAGAACATCTTGCCATCTCCTCGACCTCCCGTTGTTGACATTAATGTCAACAGTCAGGTATTCGGATCTCTTCTGTGTCTAGTTATATAACATAGTTCCCGGAAAGACTTACTTTCCAAGACGCTTGTCTTAATTTGCTTTCGATTACTGTGATAAAGGCTATGACCAAAAGCAGCTTGGAGAGGGATGGACTTATTTCCTCTTACAGCTTCATGAAAGGAAGTGAGAGCAGGAACTCAAGGCAGGAAGTAAAGCAAAAGCTTGAGAGGGCTGCTGCTGCTTACTGGCTTACTCTCCAGGGCTTGCTTGGTGTACTTTCTTCTGCAACCGGTGACCATCTACCCAGGGCAGCCCCACCCACAGGGCTGGCCTCTACCACATCATTAATCAACCCCCCCACAGGTTGCCAATAGGTCAATCTAGTGGGAGCATTTTGTCAGTTGAGATCTCCTCTTCTCTGGCAGAAAGCCAACCAGCACGGCAGTACTGTGTCTCAATTTTGGTGGGAAGTCTGTCTGCTGAGCTCCAATAGACCTGTGTTCCCATCTTAAAAGGTGAAATGTGTTGATAGGTAGTTAACATTAAGAATTTTAATGGGGCTGTAGAGGGCTGAAGAAGGAGCTCAGTGGTTAAGAGCATTTGTTGCTCTTGCAAAGGACCCGGGTTTGATTCCATGCACCCATGTGGCAGCTAGCAATCATCTCTGACTCCAGTTTCAGACATCCTCTCCTGAACTTGCAGGCACTAGACACACATACATGCCGGCAAAACACACACAGAGAAAAAAAAATTCAGAAAAAAAAAATAAAGTTAAGGTCAGAAGCAGGCATATCTCAGAGAATTTAAGGCCAGCCTGTTCTGCATGGTGAGTTTCAGGCCAGCCAGAGTTACCTAGTAAAACACTGTTTTAAAAATAAATAAAATTTAAGATCTCTCATGATGGATATTTGTTGATGTTTTTGTTGTTTGTTTTTGAGATAGGATTTCTCTGTATAGCTCTGGCTGTCATGTAACCCATTATGCAGACCTGTCTGTCCTCACACTCAGAGATCTGCCTGCCTCTGCCTCCTTAAGTGCTGGGACTGCCCAGCTCATGGTGGTTTTTTAAAGACTCACTAAGGGGCTAGAGAGAGAGTCAGTGGTTAAGAACACTGGCAGCTCATCCATCGACCATGGAGGCTCATGATCAGGACCTTTACACTTCTCAGGACCTAATTCTTGTCTTTAAGCAGCCGAGTTACTGAAATGATTGAATTAAAACATTGATAAAGGATATGTGACACTTGCTTGCATGTATCCCAGGTGGATTTCAGATCAGACCCTCCAGGAGCCAATCCCTTTCATTCTGCAGTAGATGGCTACATGAGTGAGTGTCTTGCACAGCAGATAGCTGAACTAAGGGTCTGAATATGAACTTTCAACATTCTTATTTCCATATAACTATGGCCTATCAAGAGTGGCTATATTTTTTAACATTCAGGAAGAAGTGATAAAGTTGACTGAGAAATGTCTTAATAATGCCATTGAGAGCCCAGGATTGAATGCAGTAAAGGTTCCTCCTGACTTCAAGAGCAACATTCTGAAGGCTCAAGTAGAAGCAGTGCATAAGGTAAGCTCCCTTTAATAAACATGGCCCTGATGTGTGCTGGCTATGCTGAGCTGACACAAGCTATAGTAATCAGAAGGGAGAAATTGAGAAAATGCCTCTACAAGATTGGGTGTAGGCAAGCCTGTTGGGGGCGTTTTCTTAATTAGTGATCAGACAGAGGGTTCAGCCCATTGTGGGTGGTGCCACCCCTGGGCTGGTGGTCCTGAGTCCTATAAAAAGCAGGCTGAGCAAGCCATGGAGAGCAAGCCAGTAAGCAGCTGCTGGTCAGTGGTCTCTGCAGCAGCTCCTGCCTCCAGTTCCCTGCCCTGCTTGAGTTCCCGTCCTGACTTCCTCCAGTGATGAATAAACCCTTTCCTTCCCAAGTTGCTTTGGTCATGGTATTTCATCATGACAATAGTAACCCTAACTAGGATATAACACAAAGCATACTATTATCATAGATAATAAATATAAGATATGAAAATATAGGCTTTAGACTAAATCTCAATTTTATTCTATCCCTTTCAAATTCTGTGTTTTGGGGCAAATTAGTTTATCAAGATTTGTCTTCTGTTTTAGATAAGATAATGGTAATACCTTCTTTAAAATGCGTTGAAAGAATGAAGTAAAGTAGTAAATGCAAAGGACAAAGAATATTGCTTGGAACATAATAAACATTAAAAAGTACAGCCCAGTTGGGCATGGTAGCACACGCCTTTAATCCAGTACTCAGGAAACAGAGGCAGGTGGGTCTATTGAGTCCCAGGCCAAGCAAAGTTACATAGTGATGCCATGTCTCAAAAACAAACAAACAAAAAAAAATTTTGGTCCTGATAGTTATAGTCACTGTAACAGCTGATGTGATTAATATGTAATCTGATATTTTTAAATTTAGAATTTAATTTAATTTAGAAAAGGGCCAAGGATCTGGCTTCTCCCCTGTGAGGCTGGTGTCTTACCTGGGTCTTTCCAGCTTCTACCTGTGCATCATGAATGGTTGTTATTTGCATGCTCTCTGGCTCATGGCATCTTACAGCAGTCTCAATGGACCAAGACAACATAACCTCACATTTCAGTTCATTTTTTGATTGAATAAAATGATAAAGAATTTTAATGCCTCTAAATTGCAAGGGTTAGGGTTGTTTTATAATGACAGGCCTCCTTGTAAAGAAAATTCTAGCAGCAGATGACTCCGTGGTAAAAGAATCTACCCAGTTTTCTTTCTTTCTTTCTTTCTTTCTTTCTTTCTTTCTTTCTTTCTATCTTTCTATCTATCTATCTAGATCTGTATTGTTGCAGCTCTGGATGTCTTGGAACTCATTATGTAGACCAGGCTAGCCTTGAACTCACAGAGTTCTGCCTGCCTCCCAAATGCTATGATTAAAAGTGTGCACTGCCATGCCTGGCTCTACACAATATTTTAAAAAGAAGCGATAACAATTCTATACAAACTCTTTCAGAAAATAAGACAGGAAGGAGCATTTCCTAATTTATACTACTAGTGTTGTCCCTCTACCAAAACTAGGGAAATGTATTATAAGAAAAGGATTCCAGACCAGTACACCTCTCAAATGGGATAGGAAATTCTTGAAAGGGCAATCACTCAGCCTGGTGATGGTGGAGCTTTTGCCTCCTAAGTGCTGGGATTAAAGGCGTGTGCCACTATTGCCCAGCATAACTATATTTTAAAGAGACCCAACACCCTCTTTTGGCCTGTGTGAGCATCAGGCACATACATGATGTTTGTACATATGTGCAGGCAGAATACTAATACACATAAAATAAAACTAAATAAATCTTTAGGGGCCAGGGAGATATAATTGAACTGTTTTTACCAGAAAGAAAGATAACATTTCTTATTGAGTATCCTTTCAAAGATTTGTTTTTGTTTTTTTATTTTATTTTCCTAGGCTGCAAGAGAAGATAGTTTAACTCATAAAAATTCCAGTGTTCAGGAAGCTGCCACAAACAGGTACAATCCTGGGTAAAGTGACTTATTATTTTTTCTATCTGTTCTTTGTACATCAGTTGTTTCATTATATCTATCTGAAAGACAGCTTGGATTCATCCTTTGCTATCCATCAGAGAGCCAGCGAGTGTCTAGTTTTAGGTTGTATGAAGATATTTTTAGTCACTCTACATTATTTCTCTTTAACTGATTCAAACTATAGAGAAGAAGAAGGGGGGAAAAAAACCTTTTTAATTGGTGTGTGCTGTGACTCTTGAGTATCTTCTCACAGTAAGCCGAGCGCCAAGATGCGCACATGAGCTGAGCAAACATCTTGCCTGTCCTCCTTATCTTGGGCTGCTTTCTCTTCGATGAGTGTGCCGCCATTTGTTGTGGTGTTGGGCATTTATCCCTTGTTCTTTGTGTTTTTGTTCATCAAAGCATCTGACAAGTTGGTCCTTTGTCTGCTGTCTCTGTTTTCTTTATCAGTTTCTAGTTCAGGGCCTTCTCAAGTTCCTGGTGGGCCTTCAATCTTGTCAGAGTAGTTGGTTATTCCCACATCTGGGCTACTATTGCACCAGCATGTCTTGTAGGAAGAGAGTTTGAGGCTGATCTGGATTTACCTTTCTGCTCTGGTAGTATGCAGAGTACTTCCAGTGTCATGAGCACTAGCTGGTACCAGTAAAGCCTCTAATTATGTACCAGCTTGACTTCTCCGTGTTTGATGAGATTATGCCAGTGTTGACCTCAGCAATAAGGCCTTACCCTCAGTTGTGAAGGCCAACCAGTGACCCTGGCCTGAGATGTTTGGGGTTTCCTTAGTGCCCCTTTGGCTAATGACTCAGCTAGATGTAACAAGCTCCTGCCAGTGGAGGTTTCACTTGGCGAAGATGTCTAGGTAGGGCATTGCCCACCCCTTCTTTGTTGACTCCATTTCTGTCATGTATGTATGTATTTTAGGAAGGTTCTACACAGTAGGTTTTCAAATGGCCCTCAGTATTAGTTGTCCTTCCCCATATCCCTTCCCTCATCTCTCTTTTCCATCCTTCTCCCCACTTGATACCCCACACACCAAGGCTGCCCCCCATGTCTTCATAACAATGTATTCTGTCTACCTTTCCCTGGGAGATTCTTTCCTCCCCTGCCTTCTAGTCCTTTACTAGATCATATCACATATACCTAATGCATAAAACCCAATACCCATGGGACTGAAGAGATGGCTCAGTGGTTAAGAGCACTGACTGTTCTTCCAGAAGACTGGTTTCAGATGTCAGCACCCACAAGGCAGCTCACAACTCTCTACAATTCTCTTGCACAGCTACACGGCAAGCAAAACACCTATGCATATAAAATTAAAATAAATCATTTTTTAAAAGCAGCAGCATCCATACATAAAACAAACTGTATTACCTCACTCAGGATATTTTTCCTAACTGCATCCATTTACCTGTGAAATTCATGATTTCATTTTTAACAGGTAAATGATAATCCATTGTGTAAATATGCCACTTTTCCTTGGCTGTTCATCACTTGATAGACTTGTAAACTATTTACAATTTCTGGCTATTTTTAATAGAGCAGCAATGAAGAAAGTTGAGCAGGTGTCTCTGTAATAGATTAGAGTCCTTTGGGCATATAACCAAGAGTGGCATAGCTGGATATTGAGGAAGATTGACTCCCAGCTTCCTGGGGAGCCACCACCCTGACTCCCATGGTGTCAGTATGAGTTTGTACTCCCACCAGTCATGGATAAGTGCTCCCTTTCTCCACGTCCTCATCATCATTCTGACCGGTGCAAATGAAATCTCATAGCAGTTTTGATTTGCATTTCCTGTTAACTAAGGATGTTGAACATTCCATTAACTGTTTCTCAGCCATTTATGTTTCATCTTTTGAGAGGCCTCTACTTAGTTCTGAACCTTATTTTTTAATTGAGTCATTTGTTTTCTTGATGTCCAGTTTTTTGGTTTTGGGGTTTTTTATTTTATTTTATTTTAGTTTTATATGTATTTTAGATATTAACCCTATTAGAGGGTTAATAGTAAAAAAAATCTTTTCCCATTCTGTAGCGTGCCACTTTGTCCAAATGATGGTGTCTCTTTTGCCATATAGAAGCTTTTCAGTTCCATGAGGTCACGTTTATTAATTGTTGGTCTTAGGGCCTGGGATAGTGGTATCTCATTCAGAAAATCTTTTTCTACGCCAATGAGTTATCATCTATCAGACTCTGGATGTCTTTTGTTGAGGTCTTGGTCCATTTGGAGTTGGATTTTGTGCAGGGTGATAAATATGAATCTAATTGTATTCTTTTACATGCAGCCCTCAAGTTTGGTCAGCACCATTTGTTGAGGATGCCGTCTTTTTAATTACAAAGTCCTGATTTCCTGCTCTAAATCTCCCATTTGGTCCCTTCTACGCCTGTTGTCACATTGTCCTGATCTACTGCAGTTCTTGCTTTCAGGGTGGGCTTGGCCCAGTTGAGCCCTTTGCCCATTAAGTGCGGCCGTCTGTGCTTTCTCGGGGAAGCTTCTGCTGCAGTCTTCCTTGTGAATGAGCCACACTCTGCCATGGTGAATTTGAAAAGTGGGCATTTGATCCTGATGATGTAATTCTCACAGCACTAAGGAAAGGCTCCCTTAGTCTTTCTTGGCTGTGCTTGCTGTGTGGTTGTATAATAGCTGTGACCGTGAAAAGTAGCATTGGGGACGTCTTGGTGAACTGCAGCCTCTGATGCCTGCTGCCCGTTTACAACTCAGCTAGTGATTTGACAGAGATGTCCTATGACTAGAGCCAAGACGCAAGAGAAAAAGAAAATGGAAAAAGTAGAGGGAAATGGGGCTGGAGAGCTGGCTCATCCGTTGAGAGCATTCTGTACTTTTCAGAGGACCTAGGTTCATACCCAGCACCCACGAAGCAGCTCATAACCATTTATAGCTGTGGCCACTTCCTCTTCTCTCTCTCTCTCTCTCTCTCTCTCTCTCTCTCTCTCTCCTCTCCCTCTCTCTCTCTCTGGTTGTTGTTTTGTTTTGAAGATAGGGTTTCTCTGTGTATCACTGGTTGTCCTGGAACTAACTCTGTAGACCAGGCTAGCCTTGAACTCAGAGATCCGCCTGCCTTTGCCTCCTAAGTGCTGGTATTAAAGGCATGTGTCACTATTGCCCAGCATAACTATACTTTAAAGAGACCCAACACCCTCTTCTGGCTTGTGTGGGCATCATGCACATATGTGATGTTTGTACATATATGCAGGTAGAATACTAATACACATAAAATAAAACTAAATAAATCTCTAGGGACTCAGTGTGTAGATTCACTTGTGGCCAAGCATGACAACCTGAATTTAATCTGGACCTGGGTGGAAAGCTGAGAGAACAGACTCCCACAGAGTGCCCTCCAGCCTCCACACATGCACCTGAGCCTTGGCACAATATTGTCTCCACAGACGCACACTTTTAAAAAAAATTTAAACTAATATTAATAAAGCTTTTTAATAAAGAAAAATGCTCTCAAAACATCTGTATAGCTAGCTATGTGTTCAGATGGTTTGCTGCACTTAGGAGAGTGTCAGGGCTGCAGTGTAGTGGTGGTGTGCTACCTTACAAGCACAGGAGGAGACCCAGAGTCCTACCCTTGGCACGTGCTTCATTTTCTTTGTTTCCTTTTCTTTAGCTTCTGCAAGACAGGGTTTCTCTGTGTAGCCCTGGCTGTTCTGGAACTCACTTTGTAGACCAGGCTAGCCTCGAACTCTCTGAGATCCATGTGCCTCTGCCTCCCGAGTGCTGGGACTAAAGGTGTGCGCCACCAGCACATGCATCATTTTCTAAACCCGCCCGTTTTATGTGGGCTCTCTAAGGTTGTCCCTCCTTCCGAGTGTCTTGCTCTGTGACTTTGTCTCTCAGCACTTGCATTCTCACTGTGTTGGTTTCTTGTGGTTGGTTGGTTGGTTGGCTTTTGTTCTCTGGTGTGTTTTGTTGTTGTTGTTGTTGTTGATTTGCCCTGAACAGCAGGTGGATTACAGTATTTCCTAGGAACATCTTTGTAGGTTCATCCCAGTGTTCTATGAGTTCTGAGTTAGACAAAGTGCACGTGTTTCTCGCATCATTTTTTAGGAAATTCATAGGCAGATTAAAAGAAAACAATCACAAGCCTGTAATCCCAGCCTGCAATAAGCTGTGGTGCAGGGTCCAAGGGAAGCTTCCAGGGCCCTGTGCTGTCACTCTCTGCTCCCCTTGAGGCAGGGTCTGTCACAGTGCCCAAGTGACCCTCCTGTCTCTGCCACCTACAGTGTTGGGGTTTCATGGCCACACCATGTAACATTGTTACATGGGTTCTGAGGATTTGAACTCAGGCCTTTGTGTGTGTTTAATAAGCACTCTTAACCACTGAGCCATTTTCCCAGTCCTTTTTTCTTGTTATGAATATTTTTAGTACCTTTATCATGTACATACATTTTTACCAACCGTTTATTGGTTTGCGTCGTTTTTAAACTTTGTATCAGTGAGATAAAATATGTGTGTCATTCAGTTTTGTGTTTTTCTCTCTCTGAACTTGGAAAACTTCCCTTATTTTACCAGCCATTCCATAGGTGTGCCGGGGTTGTTCATTCTTACTTGGCAGTAGTCTCCCCACGCTGTAGTGGGTAAGGAGTCCTTAGGTGGGACGCTGGCTTGACACATGTGCTGGCAGCTGGGCCTTTCCCCCGCTTCCCTTGGGGACAGCCCAGCAGCTCCACAGGAGTCTGCTCCCCTGGAGAGTTCCATACTCAAAAGTCAGTGCTTGGTTGGTTCCTTTTCTGAGTCATTTCCTTGTTCAGAAGCCCGAACTGATTCTGTCTTGGAACTCTTAGGTTTTACTCTTTGCTGTTGGCTTTCTGCATTTGCATTATTCCTAGGTTTTGTATAGGCTGACTTTTATTGTAAAATATTCAGGGTGGGTTCTAGAAAGTCATAAGGCTTTTGATTTTGAATATTTTGCATTTGTTCGTTAGTTGGGGCATTTTAATTGCTTTTATGTCTCTCAACTTTTCTTTCTTGCATTTCTTTGTTTTTACCTCGGCCCTGTTACTATAACAGGGGTCACTTCCATTCATTGTCATGTCTAGAGTGTTTCAGTCTAGGCTTTTTTTTTTTTTTTTTTTTTTTTTTTTTTTCCATCTTGTGGGCTACATGGGGGCAGATGCAGATGTTACCACACTTGCCAGTGGTAGTGAGGATCAGATTTCCAGCCGGTGGTAATGACTTGATAGTCAGCTGTGGACTTCCCTTCTCTTCCTGGCACCAAAGCCATGTGTAGAACATTGCTATTACTGTCATCAGGAGATAAGGACCCGTCGTATGCCAGGCCTGCAGGTCAGAGGTCCAGCATCGTCTTATCTGTTGTAGCGTCTGGAGCATTGTGGATGTTGCTTCTGCCTTCTGCAGCAGCCCTCCAGCCTGTGCCCTCACCATGGCTTCTCCGGGACCCTCACTCTTCTCTTCTGTCTTGGCTGTGCATCACATTTGTGGCCCGCTGAGCTTCTCGTTCATATAGTGTGTCATAGATTGGGGGGCAGTAGGGCCAGGCACGGTGGCCCCACGTCTGTAGTCCCAGCACTTGGGAGGCAAAAACTGGTAGATGTGTTAGTTCACGGCCAGCTGGGGTCTACAGAGTGGGTTCTGGACAGCCAGAGCAAATAGAGAGACACTCTCAAAAAAAGATAACAAAGAAAACAGTCAGTCTGTAGATCTTCCTCATTTCCTATTTTTTACATAATTTCTCTGGATTTTAAGCTATAACTATTCTTTTCTAAAGTGTATCATTCTGAATTTGAATGGTAACCCTTAGTGGTTTGAGGTACTATGAATTGCTTTGTTGTTGTTGTTGTTGTTGTTGTTTCCCTAAAGACATTTTAGTGTGAATTGGGAAGGAAGCATGCTAGTGTGCTGTTTGGATCTGTAGTAAAGGACTCTGACTTGGATATCAAAGCTGAATGCTCTTCTTGCACTGCCCTGTCTCCTTCCTCTCCGTGGCTTCCATACTCTTCCTGAAGGGCTCTGCAGCGGGGTCACCTCTGTACAAGTCCTCCATGACCTCTTGCTGTTTTTTCCTTCCAGTACTGTAGTAAATGAAAACAGTGTGCCCGTCGGCAAAGACTCCCTCACTCTGGAGCATGCCACAGCTGCAGACAGTGGATCTGTTCTAAAGGTAAGAGATGGCTCTCTGTTTTTCAAAAGACACTATTGAGTTTAACCTCTAATGTGACCAGGGACATCTGGTGACTTCTCGGGGGGCACTGGGACTGAGGTGGGAGGAGCAGCTGGGCCTCTTGCTTGCTCCCCAAGAATCGCTAGACTCCCCAGAGTCCTGCTGCCCGGGTGGCTCCAGCTTTGGCTGTGTTTCCACTCGTCCTCTGAGACACACTGTTAGATGCAAGCAGACGTTTATGAAGCACTCAGCAGATGAAAGAGTCAAGGCTGTGTCTGTGCAGCACATCTATGATTTTGCTGAAATGTATAGTCTTTATTTTCCTGAGGAAAAAAATTAAAAGAAAGTTGTGTGGATGAGTTGGTTCCTCTTTTGTTTTGTTGAGTCACAGCCTTGCTATGTAGCCCAGGGTGGCCTTGATGCTCGATCCTCTGTCTCAGTTTCCCAAGGCTAGCATTGCAGTAGTACACCAACATTCCTGGGTAATCTGTTTTGTTCGTTGCTGTATCCCCACTGTCTCAAACAGTAGATGGCAATAATAGGCACTGAGTAAATGTGGTCCACAACAGGCACCCTCACTGACTGTATTACAGCCTAACCAGCTCGTCCCATTTTCCTCCCGTATGTGCCCACTTGCTGTACCCTAACCAGTGCAGAGATCACAGAACCCTGGGCGCTTTCTAATTTAACACAAGCAATTTTGCCATTTTTGTTGCACAGTTGTAGAAATTTACCAGATACTTCACAAAAGGGAAAACCATAAATCACCCTTAATCTTACTATGCAAAGACAGTATGTAGTTGCTATTTGTGTATACTGTATTTCAGTTAGCGTTTACCTTACTGTAATAAAACACTATGACCAAAAGCAAATTGGGAAGGGTCAGCTTACCCTTTCACATCACAACCCATCACTGAGGAAAGTCAGCGCAGGAACTGATGCAGGGGCCATGGAGAGATGCTGCTCTCTGCCTCATACCCCATGGCTTGCTCAGCCTACTTTCTTATAGTTCCCAGGACCACCAGCGGGGGTAGGGTAGCACCACCCACAGTGAGCCGGCCTCTCCAGTTTGGCCATATCTGTTAAGATTTTTTTTTTTTAAATATTAAATCAAAACTAAATACATATATCTAAACTTCTCTATCAACTTGAAAAATAATTGTTTTGTTTATGCAAAGATGGTGCAATTAGTCTATAGCTTCCAAAACCATATCAAAAGTACATGCTTTCCTTGAGCGCTCTCTCGTCAACCAGCCCTGCCATCTGAACGCTTAACTTTTTTTCTTACATGATCACATTCTGCTGCTGAATGGACATTAGCTCTCTGCCCTTCTGCATTAAACAGCCTGCATCTTACACCACCACATGGGTTTTCTTTTCCTTCTTGGCTCAGGAGAAGAATTCAGCTGGGACACCATGATTGTCCTGTCCAACCCTGCCAGCCTGGCCACAAACCCGGCGCTGACTTACTCTTCCAGGTCTTGTCTCTCTATGTAAATGGAACAGCTACGTGAAATTCAGAGCTCATCTTTCCTGGTTCTGATATAGTGTAGATAGAATCATTGATAGCTCATTTCCAGATATCCATTTCTGCTTGAAGTGTCAACACTAGCTAGGCCCAGGTCAGGGCAGTGCCGAATCAGTCATGGTTTCTTGGTGCCTTGTCATCTGCAGGATGCTACAGACGAATTGGATGCCTTACTTCTTTCTCTAACTGAGAATTTGATGGACCACACAGTTACACCGCAAGTAAATGTGTCTCAGAACAGCAAGGTAAAGACTTGTTTTGAAAATGTTCCTGCTAGGTTCCAGTTTTTTTCTTATTTAATAATTAGTATGACTTTTCATTTAATAGGAGTTTGGGGGACTGGGAAATAACTCACTGGATAAAACACTTGCTGCATAATCGTGAGAACCTCAGTGTGGATTCCCAAAACTCAGATAAATCCAGACACAGTAGTGCAATAAGAAGAGACAGAATTTCCAGAAACTCTCAGACCTGGTATCAGGTGTACACAGTAGAGCATAAGAACCCTGCCTCAAACAAATAGACTAACCTAAGACCTCCCCGTGTACAGTGCCGTGTGCACACCCATGCACACAGAGCTTGTGTTTGCTTCTTCACCATTGCCCTTCTGTACTCCGGTTCTGCTGCTTTGAATTGCATTTCACTCTGTGGATCACATGTCACTGCAAGCCCATTGGTAATTCAACACCATATTAAATAACATGAGCGGAAAGCTGGGCCTGTACCACCATTAACAGTTAAGACAAGGAGCTCTGTGGTCAAGAGCTCTTGCTGCTCTTGCAGAGGACTGAGGTTCTGTTTCTGGCCCCCATGTAGTGGCTCACAACACCAGTTAACTGAGTCTCAGAGGGTCCCTTGCCCTCTCTGGTCGCAGCATTTGTTGAACACTTGTGATGTCCTTACATACATATAGGCAAAACATGAGACACATAAAATAAGAATTTTTTAAAAATTTCAAGAGTAAAGACAATAATCTGGGCTTGGGAGCTTATGTCTGAATTCCAGCATTCAGGAAGATTGCTGCAAATCCAAGGCCAGTCTGATCCACAGAGCAAGTTCCAGGTCAGCTAGTCGTATAGCAAAAAAGCCTGTCTAAAACCATGAGGACATGTTTGTTTGTCTGTTTGTTTGTTTGTTTGTTTTACAAAAAAGTGGGAACATAATGAGTAGTATTGAAAAATCTCACCCCCAGCAGCACTCAGTACCATTGCCATAAAGCAGGCACAGCATGGTCCGTCTCGTCAGCTGGACTTCCAACCCACTTAGAGACACAGAACTCCTTCAGTGACTGCTAACTAGAACAAGAGCTGCTGTGGGAATCAGATGCCTTTCTGAGGATTCAGGGGGTGCAGATGGCACTTTCTCTGGTATAGGTTGGTTGTGTAAATCATTAATGAACAACCTTGAGTGTGTGTCAAATTATCTTGGGAAGTCTTCCAAAATTTGCATTTACAAAAATGTTCCCAGGTGATATAGACTACCAAACAAGAAGACATTACCAAAGGAGAAATAATCCCAAATTTGATCTTGAACCAGACTTGAAATAATCTTGAAGTAGACAAGAGATAGCCTCTAAAATTAATGCCAAAATACCCTGAAGTCCAGAAAGACATAAATCCCCAAGAGCATAATTCAGAACACCTGTGTTTGCTTGGTCTTAGCGGTAGGTGAGCTTTACAAAACCAAAACAGTAGTGTGGCAAAGTGGCCCACAATTTAGTTCAGCACTTGGGAGGCAGAGGCAGTGGATCTACCATTCTCTTCTAGACCAAAATAGAGGGCTGAGACTGGTCAGCAATAGCATGCTTGCCTTGAGAGTGAGGTTAATGTTTTGTCTAGATAACAGCTCCTACTTTTGGGTATTCCTAGGGATGGGGAAGTAGTCAGTGTAGTATCTGCCCTGGGTTCAATCCCTGTAGCCTAACCTGACCTAGGAGTAATTTATGGTTCCTGCCTTCACCTCCCAAGTGTGTGAGTCTCCACACCTGAATTGCCTGACACTCGTTTATGTATCATGTGTGTTTGTGTGTTGTGGGTGTGCATACCACTGAGCATGTGGAGTCCTTCTTTCCTCAGATCATGTGTGTCCCAGGTATGGACCTCAGGTGGTTAGGCTTACCTGAAAGTGCTTTATCCCCGGAGCTATCTCGTTTACCCTTGTCTAATGAGTCTGTCTCAGAGATTCAATTACAGGGTTAAATTGGATATGACCCTCAGTATCTGGGTACTAACCCAGGTTCCTCTTGTGTAAGGAACATTTTGGTAATCTTTCCTGCTTTTGTTGCCTCTCCTTTTTCATACTCAATTCAAGAGCTGTAGCTTAGATACCAGTTTGCCCTTGACTTATCTTAAGAAGCCAGAGTCTCCTCCCAAACCCAGTGACCCCTGAGGATCAGACCTTCAACTGGCCTTAGCAGGTTTTTTTGTTTAAAAAAAAAAAGTCTTAAGCATCCAGTATGAAAATATGACCAAAAATAATTGATAATATAAAACAAAACAGTGGCCCATGTCTCTGTGTGAGTGACTGACATGCTATGTGGAACAATCAGCCATCCCAGATGCAACAGAATTCCTACTGCTCTTTTGTACATTCTTGATTATTCTACTCATGTCTCCTTTGCTTTACAAAGTTTGTAAACTCATATTGAGCCCACACCCAACATCACCATCCCTTGGTGAATAGCTGTCACCTATATCTCTGGACCTGGGTAAGCCTGAGTTGGAACTGTTAGGGTCTTAGTAGTGATGCTACTAATCTCTGGACCTTGTGCATCCAATGACATCTTAATCCTCCACTTGAGTCGAGCCACGTTCAAATGTTTCTGTGATAACTCCAGTGCCTAGAAGTCAGCTCGAGTGGAGACCATATATCCTTCTAATGCCCAGTGTCTGTTGGCAGCTCAGGGCTATGTGTGTGTGTATTCATGCGCATGCATGCGCACACACACACACATACACACACAAATGTAATTTGAAAGATTTTAAGAATAATAAATCAGTCAGGAAGTGGTGGTGTATGTCTTTAATCCCAGCACTTGTGAGGCAGAGGCAGGCAGATCTCTTAAGTTTAATGCCAGTCTGGTCTACAGAGCCAGTTCAAGGACAGTCAGAATGTTGTGTCCAAATTCTGAACCCCAAAAATCACCTAGAGACCCATTCTGATGCAAAAGCAGAGTCTTTATTATTTAATGAGTTAACTGTATTAACTCAGTTCCTCTTCAGTCTGACACAGCGGGTGGGGCCAGAAAGACCCAGAAGGACCAAGGAGCAGGGAATTTATTGGGACAGAGCAAGGCGAGTATCTGGGGTCTGCAACAGTCTCAGGATTGGTTCTCTTCTGGACTTGGGCACCCTGTCTTGAGTTGATTGGCCAACTGGTTGCTATGGCCTATAGGCCCTCCCAGGGCAGTTGCTATGCACTGTATGCCACTGTTACCTGGAAAGCAAGTCTACAGCCTGCCAGCTAACTTTTGATTGGTTCATTGCCACTTGAAGTATATCTGACTGCCTAGTGACTAGGTCAGGAAGCTCAGGACATTTTGCTGAGTCAGAGGCCTACATCTTGCTGGGTCTTTTCTGCATCCTGTCATGGCTGCCAAAGTAGGGGGGTGGGTGAGGGTCTGGGCCCTTCACCAGGACTATACGAAGAAACCCTGTCTTTGACTAACAGTAGCAGTAGCGTCCCTGAGTGATAATCCTTCCTGTTACGGAGATCCTCAGAGTCCCTACAGTCTCCTGGGTAGTGTGTGTGCTGTGAAGGTTCAGGAGGCTCTGTGGGAACGCATTCCCTGTGTGCATTTCACAACAGAAAATATCATCACTCAGTCTTCCCTGAAACTAAGTGGCTCTCAAATTTGTTTTAGGTGTCTTCATCATCCACAATCACACCCCGGTGGATTATTCCAGTAAGTTAATACTATTTATGATGCTTTTGGTTACAGTCAGAAGCTTGAAGGATTCTCAAGTTCTTGTTTTTCCTACAAATATTGGTGCCATTATCAAAACTGTTCATTTAATGGCTTCAGAGTTGTGGCTCATATTTCTGTAAATGCTGAATGATTCAGACAGAATAAAAATTTGAGGTGAAAGGGGCTGGAGAGATGGTTAAGTGGGCAAGATCACTTACTTTTGCCAAGTGGTGGTAGCACTCTCCTTTAACCCCAGCACGGGAGGCAGAGGCTTGTGGATCTCTGGGTTCCAGGCCAGCCTGGTCTACAGAGGGAGTTCCAGAACAGGCTCCAAAGCCACACAGAGAAGCTTGTCTTGAAAAAAAAAAAAATTGTGTGTGTGTGTGTGTGTGTGTGTGTGTGTGTGTGTGTGTGTGTGTGTGTGTTCCAGAAAGCCTAGGTTTGGTTCTCAGCACTCACATGGCAGCTTACAACCATCTGTAACTCCAGTTCCAGGGGCTCTGACTCCCTGTTCCGCACTCCACAGACACCAGGCACACATGTGGTACACAGACAGACACACATGTAAGCAAAATACCCATATACATAAAGTTAAAATCAATAAGCAGCTTGGACACTGGAGAGATGGCTCCGTAGGTAAGAGTACTGACTGCTCTTCCAGAAGACCAAGGTTTGATTCTCAGCACCCGTCGTGGTGGCTCACAACCGTCTGTAACTTCAGTTGTAGGGGAGCTGATGCCTCTGGGTACCAACCACACGTTTGTGCACAGACATACATGCAGGCAAAACACTGTGCACAAAAAATAAGCTGCTGAGAACATGCCACCCTTCTCCCTCCCTGTCAGTGGCGCTGATGTAAGGCTGCCGGTGGTGGCGCTGCTGCCTCTGTGTAAACACGTGCTGTGCCTCTCCACAGCAGAGTGCTGCCATCACCAACAGACTCGCAGGATGTGGGGCATCTGTGGCAGGGACACAGGGCTGTGCTACTAAGGATGGATTCTCACTCATTTCGCCCCCAGCGCCGTTCTTGGTGGATGCTGTGACCAGGTGAGGAAATTACTTCTCAGCGGCAGCTTTCAGGCTGTCTGATAGAAGAAAAATGATAAGAAACATTGATTCTACTTCAATAACAATGTTAGATTTTATAAGGTCTTAATTGAATTTCATTGAAAGTGTGTAGCTCTTTGAATATTGTTTAACATAGTATTTTTCTTGCTGTTGATAATTTTCCACACAATTATTAGGATCTGTTCATTTAGTCTTTGCTAGATAAAAATTATAGTAGCCTGTAGATCTCTGTTTTAAAAGTCAAGTTGTTATTTGTCCTTTCTTGCTTTACTCTTACAATTGTGGCCTGCTTTCGTAGTGATGAACGGTGGCACTCATCAAAGCAGGGTAGGACATTCCCAGGGTGAGACCCCTCATTAGCTTTTACTAGACAGTGTGAACATGGGTCCTTGGGGCTATCCCAAGGTTCCATAGAGGATAAGCAAAGCCAAGTTCAGACGGGAGCAGAAATCGCTGCTTTTGTGTTCCTACAGCACTATTCTTACATAATGAGCTTGACTGGTGAAGAAAGGGTTAGATGTGTGCTAGACTGTGGTCCGGGGACCAGGAGCATCAACGATGTAGAAAGCATCCTGCCGAGTGTCTTCTTGCTACTGCATCACCGCTTAGGGCTGCCATCTCTCTTCTCTGTGTTTCCATGTGGGCTGCTGGAGCCAAGAGTCCCTCACTGACTTAAGTCTCTGCCTTCATGCAGCTCCGCTCCTCTGCCCGAAGACCCAGCCTTGAAGCAGAAGTGTTTGCTGACTACTGAGCTCTGAGGGCTTCTGCTCCCCACACTATCCCGGCAGCCCTGAATCCAGCTGGGTCCTTTACTTGGGGAAAAACTTCTACCTGGATTTGAACTCAGCTCCATGAAGAAAGTAGCTACATTATCCGTCCAACTGCAAGTCTACCCCTACGTAACTGAAGACCCTTTACATTGCCAGTTTCCCAGTCAATGAAATTCACTAGCTTCCTTCAAGCTCTTGTCTCCACCTAGTGGTTGCAACTGTGTATAAGGCTCGCTGTCAAGAGCCTTTTCGTTTCCCTGTAATGTCAGGGCAAGCATGCCTGACCTGAGTGCCTGCTGGGAAAAAGGAATGGCATTTCCCTGCGCATTACCCGGAAGTCAGAATTCAGGAAACAGGTGAAAGCGCTGTGTGGGTAGGTGTCACAGTGACTAGGGCTCTTAGGGAAGCTGAGAGCTTAGGGGTGGTATGTCACCCACACTTAGAATCCTGAGCAGCAATAATCTCACTGCTCTGAATTTGCTTCAGAGGTAAATGTTAGGAGCTACAGAGAGATCATCTCCAGGCGTGTGTGAGCTCCCCAGACCCCCTTTCCTGGAGGAGGCATCGCACCGCTCGCCTGTCTGCAAGCAGGGGTGGGGGGAGCAGGTGTGTGGGCAGAGACCTGAGGCCTGTGCTCCCCTTCCTGAGCCAGTGGGGAATGCAGCCTGCTAGGCTTACCAGTCACACAGGTCAGCCCAGCGGAGCTCCACCTGTGCGTGCACAGCCTCCAGGTCTTTGGGTATAGGCTGAGTGAGTTGGTGGCTTTCCAGCTGAAGAGGGAGGGTGGGGAGAGATTGGGCTCTTGCATGAATCGCCTAGGAAGCTGTGCACGCGACAGGGAATGAGTCGTTTACGTTAGGGTTTTACATTCATGTTTAAAGTTCTCTACAAGTCCCCATGCTTTGTACCTAAAGTTCTGATGTTAAAGTGGTGCATGCTCGTCGTAGAAAAGTGTATGGATGCGTGCCTGTAATCCCAGCACACAGAAATGTGGGCGGTAAGATCAGGACCTCAGTTGCCACGGGGATGGGAGTGACATGCAGACGTTGGTAAAGCCGTTGGCGTTGCCTTGTTACCAAGCACTGATGTTGAGCTGTATCTCCCAGAGTTTGTTCAGTTTGCTGCCCATCACGCAATGTCCTATGTGGTTGAGTACTCATTTTTTTTCAGCTAAAGGATATCCGTAGTCATTAAGATGCTATTGTTTAGACTACCCTGGCTTCCCTGTGGCATAGAATGTGCTCGGGCAAAAGCTAGTCACTGACTGGGAAGCTGGGGTTTCAGTCTTGCGGTCTCTAGAGGAGCTGGCACTTTTGTTAAAGGAGACAGAGCTGCCCTCCTCTCTGGCTGGCTCCCCTTAGCCAGTAGGCAGCTCATGATCTCATTAGGCCTGTGCTTGCCAGTCCTCAGTGGTAAGACATTTCTCACAGGGTGACACCTAGAACCCAGGGCTTGATCCAGGACATACTGGACTGGGTATCAAATTTCCAGTGTCTGGAAGTCCTGGACGGCTTACACAATTAGTTGTGCTGCTAAATCCTAAATGTCCCATCCCATTTAAGATCAAGTACTGTTGCTTCAAGATGGAGTAGCTAAAACCCCTAACATTTGTGTCTCCAGCTACCTAAACCCTTACAGTCGGAATATTGCTAGGGGCTTTGTTAGGATTCGCTTTGAATCTCCAGTTAAAAGAAATCCTATGTCCTCGTGTCAAGTAATAAGTATAGAAGTAATACTTGAGTGATGAATTTGCCCTGACAGGTTAGACACACGTGTCAGATACGTTTCCTGTGCTGTTACAGCACGTGTACTCTGCTCCTCTGAAAATGGTAGCAGTCTAGCGAGACAGGCCTGCGGGCCCACGTGGAAGTGATAGGGGTGGGCCATATGTGACGGGGTCAGTGATGCTGGCAGTGAGCTGGAGGCGGTGGCAACTGGCTGAGAAGGTAACCGGCAGTGTGGGGCTGAGTCTGGAAGCGGACAGCTGCCGGCACTGCGTTTATGTCACATTGGAAATAGCGCCCCGAAGCAGCCTGCTGCGCGCCCAGGGGAGCATTAGACAAAGTCGGGATTGTCTCCCTGGCTAGCGTGGCAATTTCCAGTAAGACGTGAAGGTTAGCAGTCCTAGACTCCACCTCAGCACTGGGAAAAGTCTGTACACGTAAATGATGTGGAGATGACAGCTTGTGGCTAGCAAGTCCTCTAGTTGTCTCTCCTGATCCTCGGGAGGCTGCTGAGGAGAGCTTGCAAGCAGGCTCCTTAGCTTCCTGCATTGCTCTGAGAAAGCTCCCGTGGAAAACATTCCTTACAAGTCCTGCTGACTGTCAGTGGGCACTTGCTTTGCACAGGCTCCGCTGGGTGCCCTGGGAGTCTCTGGAAATGAGATCTCTGAGCTGTTTCAGGGTCTGCTGCTTGTGCTTCCCATTTCTGGCTAAAACTAGACCTCTGTTCTCTACCTGAGCCCCAGGAAGTCCTGCTGTCGCTTGCTAGATTGTGTGCTAGGCGTTCAACTGGTGAAAAACTTGTTTGTTTTATGTTTTCGTTTTTTCAGAGATAGGATTTATCTGTGTAACAGCTCTGGCTGGCCGAGAATTCCCTCTGTAGACCAGGCTGGTCTCGAACTCAGAGATCCACCTGCCTCTGCCTCCCAAGTGCTGGGGGCATGCACCACCACCGCCCAGCTACGTGCCTATTTTCCAAGTACGAATCTTAAGAAACAAAATTCTTGTCTTCTCATTTAGCGAGGCCATATACATATTGTAACCCAGGATGGTCTTGAACTCATAGCAGTTCCCCTGCCTCAGCTTTCCAAGTGCAGGGATTTCACTTGTGAATCACCGGGCCTAGCATATACTTAACCCTGACAAGTGTTACTTGGTTGGTTTTAGGTTTGTGTTGCTAGGGATCGGAACCGGGACCTTGGGCTGAAAACGGTGATGCACACCTGTGATCCCAGCACTCGGCAGGCAGGCAGCCAGGTGCGCATCTCCTCGTTCTGCCACCCAGCTGTCTCCAGATCCAGTAGGATTGGTCTGTAGAGAGCTAGAGCCGGCCAACAGTTCACCACTCAGTGCTGCTGGCGCTGCCTGGCATCATCAGGGGCAGTACCCAGGAGCGTAACTGTGCTCACTAAAGCTTATTTAACAATGAAGCTCTAAGCTAGGGGTTCTCAACCTGTGGGTCACCACCTCGTTTGGGGCCACATACCAGATATTTACATTAGGATTCATAACAGTAGCAAACTTACAGTTATGAAGTAGCAACAAAATCATTTTACGGTTGGAGGTCACCACAACCTGAGGAACTGTATTAAAGGGTCACATGGCATTAGGAAGGGTGAGAGCCCCCACAAGGGCTGGTCCCAGTCTGAGAGCAGTGGAGTACGGCCTGGAGTTCAGCACTCCAGGACGTGGTGTCCTTGCCCATGAAACTGCAAGGGAGAGAGTGTGGGCCTCCGCTGTGAGAGCCTTGGTGGCATCGTATTATTTAATCCATCTCTTAACCATGGAGTTGGTTAGACTCTTGGATACACATGTGTAATAAAGAATGTGTGTTTCTAGATCATTTGTGCTTTTTTCTGGAAAGAAACTAACCCTGGGTTTATGGCGGCCAGGATAGACTGGAAACACTCCTGTGCTGCCAGGATGGGGGACGTGTGCTGAGCTGAGTTCTGCTGTGGTGCACAGGTAGTTGCTGGAGACTTGGGCTGCAGTTCTCCACTTAACGCGTTGTTGGGGTGATATCCACTAATTCTCAGGGTTTCTTATCAGAGGGGTGTGTGTATTCATGTGCGTGTATGTGCGTGTGTCTTTTCATGGAATCCTTTACTCGTCATTTTCGCATCTGGATACAATAGATGTTATGAGGACTCACCGACTATTTTGTGTTTACTTTTTCTACATTAAACTCTGCAGTAGCCTTGAAACTGTAATTTATTTTTATATCAAGTGCACTATATTCAGTGAATTCCCATTGTATATTCTTGTATTAGATGCACTACACAGAACTGTGAGTTGTCTGTACACTGAACAAGAACTCTAGACATGACCCATTCAAATAAAACTTCTGTGAGAGTAGAGTGTCCGTGCTTTATAAGCTGTTTCTTGAACATGCATGCCCTGGCTGAATAGTTAAGTCAGAGCCACCATTAATAAAAACCAGATGGAGTGAGTTGAAGCACTCATACCATGTTTGGGATTTGTGTCAGTGGCAGTGTGGGAGATTGGGAGTGGAAATGTTTCTAAAGGCTAAGACTCTCATTGGTGGCTGAAGAGATGGCTCAGTGGGTAAAGCACTTGCCTCACATGCATGAGGATCTGAGTTCAGATCCCCAGAGCCTACATTAAATCAACTGTGGTAACACGTGTCTATGACCCCAGAGCTGCTGCAGTGATACGGAATCAAAGACAGGAGAATCCCCTGAGACTCAAGGCCCCCTCACCTGGCATGTGCAGCCTGACATGCCCATAGATAGAGACCCTGCCTCAAAGTGGATGGCCAGGATCTACATGTGAGGTTGACCTCTGACCTCCACATGCATGCTCCTGTACTCACACGCATGAATATATACACAAAACATTGGTGGGTGAGCATGATGGTGCATACCTGTAACCCCAGCACTTGGGAGGCTGGGCAGTCAGTGTTCAAGGTCATCATAAACTATATAGCAGCACTCTCAAAATAAAAATAACCCTTGTTGATAACACCTAGCCTGTTGGGAGTGGTCTTCGTGGGGCTGCAATCAGAGCCAGCCAAGCAGCCCCAAGTCTGTACCTGAGTGGGGGACTGTGGATGAGGGAAAGGCTGGCTATAGTCGATAAAGAAAGACAGAGAGACAGAATGAAGGTCAGGAGGGCAGATTAGTCAGTACTGAAATGTCACAGTTTACTTTTCACCACTCTTAACCAAAAAGGGGAAGACGGTATGATGTGTTTGGAACAGACTTTTCTTCCTCACTTATTCTAAGGGTTCGGTGACCCCACCTTAGCTCCAACTTCTTGTTCCCTAGCCTTGAGGTCAGGAGTAGCCACACCTCAGGTCTGTTGTTATTTAGAATAAGACAGACAAACATCCTACTGCAGCCACACCTTTGACCTTTAGGTCTTAGGACTTGCTGAGGACAGCTTTGAACTCTCTTTCCTTGTGCCAAG